CAGTGAGTTTTCTGTAAGTGGGAAGCGAAAATGTCTGATTTTCAAAAGTTGCTGATCTTACGCCCGATTTTCTACATTTACTATAGCCAAGATCTTCAAGTCAGCTAAGACGGCGGTCTTGGCCCGTAGGATCGCGGGTTCGAGGCCCGCCTCGATTGATTGGGTTTGTGTGGGCCTCTGTATGTTTGTGATTGTCCATTTCATCCTTCATTGTCATTATCCTTTCACCTCATCCCCCAGGGCTAACAACCCTGGGTGTAAAACCGGATTCAGAATGAAAATGCTGATTCCCCATAAAAGTCACGTGCACCTACCCTCGATGAATATAACTGAGCCCCGGTGGGTTGCACTTTTGCGTGGTCCCGAGATGACCACTTCACAGAAGAAAAAAATGAACATGAACTTATTTCAAATTTTGTCTTTAAAGAAAAGATTTTATTAAGGAAAAAAATCTCTATCTTCAATATTTTATTTGCAGGAGGGGCCGAAAATTTATTGAACATTAGTAATTTTCGAAAAAGCAGGGATTTTAACGAAAATAAGACCTGCACCACTCTCTTAAATGTCCTTCCCACTATCCGACAACAAAGTTTAATCAAAAAAATTATTGCTATTTTTTTTTAAAATGACCCGGGGGCTTCCTTTACAGTACCCCCAAAATTAAAATATTGACTTCAAATTCGAGGGCCCGCTACATCGGCCAGGTCGATTGGAGAATATCAATTTTAGAGAAAATCGGCTGAACGGGATAGGCGCTAGCGTTGTTTATGGACGGACAGCCAGACGTTTGTTCACAGCCGTCAATCGATTTTTCGGTTTCAAGGACCGAGAAAACATGGATTCTGGTTACACCACACATTAAATAATTTTTCTATATTAAGCAACGGGTTTTATCCCCTTTCTTGTTACCAGAGCGCAGCAATAAGAGTTTTTCTGCCGAAAATTAGCGTGTTTTTTTTTCGCGCAGCATTACATAACTTTCTCTAAACTGCGTTAGCAGTAGCGAGAAACTAGAGGTGAAGTAATTGCAAAACCAAATGACTATGGCATGTACGCAATAAAATGGAGGGATCAACGTAACGTAATTATGATGTGTACTTTATATGATCACATTATCACATTCCAACAGGAAAGAAAAATAGGATGTGAAGAAATTTGAAAACCTCCAATGCTTATTGAGTTCAACAAAAGGAAAGGCGATATTCATATTGCTGATACCTTTGCATCCTATCTATCTCTCAGCTCACAGAAATGAAAAACAATTCGCTGGTATTACAAAGTAACTGATGGCGCGTTATTTGGATGTACAAATTGTAAATGCACAACATTCATTCAGCAACTCACGACCAGAAAGAAATAGGGAAAATGTAAAAAATGTTTAGAAATAACTATGAATATACATTGTAGCCGCAGGTCACCACTGTATCACGAACTCCTTCCAAGAACACAACTTCCAGAAACTAAAACACTTTCACGAAAAAACAACAAAATTTAAAATGAGTCTGCAAGTTATGCTATGAGAAATTGAGGCAAAGCTATGATAGCAAGCAGGCAAGAGTATTTTGTCAACTAGTCTCAACCTACTGGAAGAGTTGTCCTGATAGGGCATTTATGTGTATAGGTTGTTTTGATGCATAATAAAACAAATAAATAATTTATTTTGCACCTCACATTGCTTTTCAATTTCTTATCCCGCCCATATTTATCATAGGCCCGTACCATTTATCTGACGGAGTTACTGTGACGCAATTTTCTGACATATACCCCATGGTTGAAAATGCTACACATATTGATCTGTTGTGAAGTCATATTTTCCCATAAATATCTTTCGCAGAGCCCAAAGCTTCTGACATGCAATGTCACAACAAAAGTATTTTTTTCTGGAGTCATGATCTACCTTTCACGTCTGTCTAATCAGTTCTCAATATTGGGTCTCGCGAATCGCCAGACTCCACGTTATTGTAGGGACCTCTTATCATATGCGTCACTTCCCAGTCACCTCCTCTGTGACAGAAGGTTAAAATGCTTCGCGGGGGCCGGAATCAGCCCCGTTTTAAGTCACACAATGTAATTATTCAGGCAAGACATTTTTTCATCGTCGAAATATTCAGAATTAGCCCTGAGACAATATGGCATCATTATAGTGTTAATAAGATTTCCTTGAAACCAAAATGGGGTTCAAAACCACTGAATCTATGGTTAACAGGAGACAAAACTCATTAGCAAGACGCAGGGTATCTCCTGACTTGGAAGGCAAGAGATAGGATAAAAAATATGGGTGCAAACAAATTATCTACTTCAATTCACGACCACCAACGAATTAATTATTTGAATTTTCTAATAGAGGGTCATCATGGTTTCTAATGGGGGTTAATCAATTACTAAATAACATTAGCTTGCAGTCTGCTTTCTGGACTTTTTCTTTCCTCATAAGGGCTGTGAATTACACATACACTTTATATTACTACTACTCAACATATAAACTAAAGAACTGGATATATGCTAATATAATAATTAAAAATAGAAGCTAAATATATAAATTAATTTAGAGACTCAAAACAATTCAATTTATTTTCATAAAAAAATAGTAAAAACTAGTATATGTGACAAATGGGGACAAGTACAATCTGCTCACATTTTCTTTTGTTCGCGAATCTCTATTTCACTCCTTTACCCCTAATTATGTCTACTAGTAGAGAAGAGAAGGGTCCCAGCATTTGAAAAAGAAATATACTGATAGAGCAACGATGACTATTGCAAGGCACAGGCTGGAGGAAGAGATAAGAGGGCGCCCAAAGGAAACAAGAGGCGCCTAGGGCAGTACACTTTGATTTATTTGTATTTTATTTGAAGGAAATCAATCGATGACGGCGTCTTGAACGTCAGCGGGAGCTATATATATATATATATATATATATATAATTATATATATATATATATATATATAATAGGAGAGAGAGAGAGAGAGAGAGAGAGAGAGAGAGAGAGATGGAGGGAGAAAATATCTAAACGATTATACGAGTAAAACATTCAAAACTCACTCTATTTTCTGGAATTCCATTGCATTTTTACAGTAGAATCTCAGTAGTCCATGCATGCATGACGGCGTGTGCACGGCTTGATGCCAGAAAATTTTCTCGCCTGTGCGTCCATCCTTCGTGCAAATATTGCCCTCAAGCACGCATCACCAGTTATAGTAATTCTGACTTTAATGATAAATTGGGGGTGTTGTGGCAATTATTTAGAGGGTTAAAGCGCGCGTTACAGGTGCGTTATAGGCCAGGGTATCCAAAGTACTCCAAATATCCTTTACGCAATTTATGGTCGGCTCCTTGGCAGTATTAGGGAGAGGGTGATGGGAATGGAGGTTTAAGGAGAAAAATGGATACGTGAAGGAAGGGGAGAGGTTTAATGGGGGATTAGGAATGATCTGATAGATAATATAAGATGAATGAAATGGTGAGTAGGATAAGAAGGAGAATAGATAGTATTATGATTAAATTGCGATGTATAGATTGTATTATGTTGTATTGGGTGGTGTATTATTGTATTGTAAACTGAATTATTGAACCGTGTAGGATATAATTATGTACCGTAAGGTATTGTAAAACTTACTGTATATATCAAAAGTTATGGCGAATCAATTGTATTACCAACAGGAAATTAATTGTTAAACTACTACTACCCCCACTATCACAACTACTTATTCAATTCTTGTTCACGCATTTAAAGAAAAAAAACGCATTAATTGAATGCATTCTAGTATTATGTAATAAGAGTCTGCCTCGCTAATTCTACTTTCTAATTTCTAAATGTATTCTTTAAAAACCTATTTTTTTCTTCGAATGTGTTTTCAAATATGGTTATGATGTATGTTATGACTGCTATTAAATGTAATATGTACTAATGTTCTTGATATTAGAGAATACAATCAATTTAAAATATTTCATTTTTTCTTCAAATGTGATTTCAGAGTTTATTATGTGAAGTAATCAGTGTAGCAATTACATTTTGGGTGCAATCTACAACCCTGATGAGAGAACAATTAAGTTCAAGAACGTCGGCAAGCTAAGGTAATTTATTAATTGACCAACTCCCCATGGAGAAATTCAAATACTGAAATGACTATGTATAATATATGATATATTTGCCCTCATCATCCTAACACCAACAAATAATTTGATTCCATTCAATACAGAACCACCAGGGCCGGATTTACCTACAAGCAAAACAAGCAGTTGCTTGGGGGCCCCCATTCACCAGGGGCCCCGCGTTTCCGGAAAAAATATGCAGTGAAGGGCAGAAGAAAAATTATGTAAAATGTATTTAATGTAAAAATGTAACACAAGTAAAATTTCTTATAAAAAATTATCCGGCTTCCATTTGTATCTGTACAGCAAGTATTGTACTATGATTACATTTTTTATTTAATAAAGATGTAGCTATTTTTTCGGCGGGGGGGGGGGGGCGCGAACACAATTTTGTGCTTGGGGCCTCGCACTACTTAAATCCGGCCCCGAGAACCACATGCGCATCGATTCTCCTTATACGAGACGAAATGGGTCGCGCAAAGAAACCCAAGGTTTACAATGCGGGTGGTTGGGATGGGAGACGCCCCTTCCCTCCAGAACCAGCACTATTTTAATAATTGTTTTCCATTTAATCAAAATGACATGACATCTCCTCCAAATAAGATGTATAGTAGGACACATTGACCACACGACAACCATTGCTTACTAGTATAAATAAGATAATCAATGGAATGGTTTTTAATTTACTAAAACAATATTCACAAAGTATTTCCATAATTAATATACATTTTTTTTAAATTCAAGCATAAAAAATATTTAGGGGACATCCGACATGAAATTGGGCCAGCTCAAATACCTTCTGCATCCGCCCCTGAACGTCCGTAGCTATCTGCTACATGGAGGGAAAATTGCGATTATGACACTCTTCCAGGCGCAAGGCATTCCACAAACAGAAACAGTCGTACTCACGTGCGACGAACACCATTGGCAGTGGGGGGCGGTGATGCACGCGTTGCAGGTATTATGCGAGGCGCAGCCTCCTTCTTCGGCGGAGTTGGCGAGGCCCGACCACACGCACAGCACAAGGCCCAGCCACACGCACTTCATGGCGACGACTGACGTGCTTCCTCCGCCGTCGCGGCCACCGTGCCGCGCTGCGGCGTGAGGTTTATCGCATCCTCCGCCCTGCAACCACTTCCTGGCTTCTCGCCTCAGTGTGACGCGCGCGGCCTTTCCGAGTACGCGGCGTCGCCTCGCGTCGGGGATCGTCGCGCCGGCACGCACGAGGAAAAAGACTCGCCACTCCCAACGAGGTGTCGTTCGGGAGGAGAACGGGCGAGTACGGCAGGTACAAATGGATAGAGTGATGGATGACCCCACACGCGAGGTCATATGAAACCCAATCAACCGCGGCAACAGTCACAGCTGATAACAGCACCGGAATAAATTGCAAACGCTCACGGAGCGTTGAAGTGACACAATTTGGACATTTACAAACAGAATGTATTGATACTATTTGAACTTCGGAAAGCAAAACTTTGAGATGAATATAAATTGTTGAGTAATGTATGTAATGCGCGCTCCAAGTTACTATTCCAAACCACCTCGCTCATAAAACACAGTGCAGAATATATATAATATATAGTATATATATATATATATATATATATATATATATATATTATAATATATAATATATATATATTGAATTTATAATTTCTGGATTTCCCCCTTTGATATACATATCTTCACCAAACATGAAGAGTACTGTCAGTTTTCTTGTACAGCTAGTTTCCAGGAGATGTAAATTTATTACTTTGGTACATGGCATCGGGTTTAAAATGTTAGATTCCTGTTTAGTTCTCATTATTTTAATGTTTAATTCTAATATTTCCATATTTTATGAAATTATTTTTTAAACTCACATGCTCACGGGCAACGTCGTTTTTCTTTTTATCATTGTATTTATATAATTAATAGTAAAAGCACTAGTAGTAGAAGTAGTTGTGATAATTAGGCGCAGATCCACAATTATTTTTTTCAGTACTAATTATTAATTTGAACATTCATGCAAAAATATTTTCAGAAAATATTTAAAACGAATAAAATTGTATCGCAGCATGAGCCGAGTATATCCGGCAATATTTTAGAAAATCTGTAAAATGACACATTCTACCTCCCAAAATTTTTCACTTGACCCGATATTGTAAATAGTACAAGTGCTAGTACTAATAGTAGTTATAGTACTAATCTTAATAGTTAGTATTAATAGTTGTAGTAGTAGTAGTAGTATAATAGCAATAACAGTACTGGTAGAAGTAGTAGTGGTATGTTCTCATGTTCACAGTACCACCTAATGTCTGTCTGTGGTCTGGAATTGGCGGGAGAGCCAGCGAACCGGCCAGGGCCTACTAGTAGGGTTCCCGGCCTTGCGGCTGTGGGTTAAGGGGCACGTGTGGTTAGCACGAAGACTTCCCCACACCGTATTCTGGTCTTCTCAACCTGAGAATTGAGTTTTCTCATCGTCACACAGCAACACGTATTGGGACACTGCAAGGAAAACGCACACTACAATCTTGCCTGACCAGGATTCGAACCAACGAGGCAGGGTCATGACATGAAAAGTTAGCACGCTAACCAATGAGCTAAACCGCGAGGGTCAGTAACACAAGTACAAATAAGTCAAAATTTACCTGGACATTTTTGGAAATGGAAAAATATTTTTTTTCGTCCTTTTTCCTTTCTCGCCCTTAAGTAGCAGTTTTGTTTCTTCAAAATTGATATTTCCCTATCTGGCTGATGACGCGGTCCCTTGAATTTGAAACTGATATTTTAATGTAGGGGAGGAGTACCGCAAAACCCGAAGGGCAATTTCAAAATAAATGTTGATTAAACTTTGTTGTTGGATAGTGTTAAGGACGTTTGAGAGTGCTGACGTTTGAGAGTTTTAGAATGGTACAGGTCGATTAAAACTCTGATTTTTCAAAAATTGTAAAAATTCAATTTTTTTGCGTCTTCCTACAACTACAATTTTGAAGATAATTTATTTTGTTCTTAATGAAATGTGTTCATTAAATTTTAAAAAATCTTCAAAATAGGTAATCTTCATTATTTCGAAAATATGACTTTTTGAGTAATTTTAGATGAAACAGACGCTTTTGAAACCATTTTAAACAATTTTCTCGCAAGCGACTTCAAATTGTCTTGAATTTTTATCCTCGTATGTAACAAAGAACTGTTCAGATAGTGGTGATGATCATATTTTCGACGCACTCTGCATTTTCGAAAATTGTAAAAGAAGTTCGAAATTGTAAAATCAAATTTCGCACGCTTCGTTTCAGGCATTACACTTCGGAAGCAATACAGAGGTTCCAAATTCTTCGAATTCATTCCATTGTTGTCGGTCACGCTGTATGATTTAGATAATAATTTTATGAAAGGAAATAGATTGAAGGAAGGAAATAAAAGAACTAACAAACACACTTCTATACTTGAAGTATTAATAGGTATTAAAAGAAATGAAAGTTCACATAAAATATAATCAAGGTATGCTTGTGTGAAATTATTCTTGCTTTTCTGTGTTATGTTCTGTAAATACTGAAACATTTAATGTTATTCATGTCCGTTTTATTTCTAAAAGTAAGAAAATACTACTGTTCCTGTCAATGGGAGTCCGATGTCTTCACGATTTATAATATGCCTTTTGTAGTGTCATTCAGCAAGTTGCTACAACTTCTACTAAGCTACTACTGCTAGTAATAATAATGGAAATAAATGCAGATAAACACGAGAAGCGATTCGTTTGAATTAAGACTTTTTGAAGTTAACAGAGTTTTTATTATGGACATATTTTAATATTACTTTCCTATTTTCAATCATGTGCGAAAGTATGTGCTGTTGTACTACCTCTAGTTTCCTTTAATTACTATGATGGAGTCTCAGCTTGGTAGAAGTGTACCTACATTTAGTGTTACCAACGTTAAACATACTATTGTATTGTAATAATTACCCTCTCTATCCTAAACGTGATGGCCCGGCTAACAATGACGAGGAAGGAGGAGTATTAACTAATCTTGCTCTGCCTTCCTGACGCTGAGGAATGTGAGAAGGAACAAGGTATAATACACGCATGCAATACAAAAAATCACAACCCGCGTTGTCTAAGCATAAATAAATTGTAAACACGGCAACGTAGTTTGTGCCAAGACCGTATCGATAATTGTATCTGTCCTAAAAAAAATCGTGCTAAAATAGCACATATTTCTGGTACGCAATCTAACCATTTTGTTCTCTTTATCCAACGAATTTAGCCATCTTTTGAAAAACTTTTGCAAAAGAGTAGCGGGAAATTTGAAACTCCAATGCAGGCAAACTCCGATGTTGCAATCGGCTTACATACGATGACGTCAATGGCTTGTGCCGCGGCCTTCTGTAGAGGCAGTGTTGACTGAGTCATGACTACCGCTTACGCCGGTGCCGTCGAGGACCTTCCGGGAGGCGACCGATCACGATAAACAGCGCCTGCCTACGGAGCCTATTAATACACAATAGTTTTAAAATTAACAGTAACCTAAACATGTTTTTAATAAGCTAGGCCTATCTTCAGAAACAATTTCATGGATATCTAAGCGCAACGGAAGTAGATATATGAAATGTGACAGATGAAGCAAACTGGACACTTTGACAAGCCACCTACTACGATATCGTTGACGAGACACAAGTATGTGAAATAAAGTACGAAATACACAAATAAACTATTAATTAAAATTTACTTATAAGTAGCATGTACAGATATTTATGAAATAAAGAGATAGGTTATGCAGTAAATATCGTTGTCGAGATTTTAATTTCAATGCATTTATCGGGGGCCTGTGTTTTGTGTTTTTAACTTCTGACAGTCTTTCCGGTGGTCGACAACACAAGATAGCACCTGAAACACACAAGATTTTCCTGAAAATTAATATTCCCTCATTTATCTAGCTCCACAAAGCCTTCGGATTTGAAATTAATATTTTAATTTTGGGGGTGCTTTCATAAAACCCCAACGAATTTCCAAACTTTTTACAAAAATTGCTCAAAGGACTCTAACATGTTTCCCTAAATTGTTTGCTAGAATGGAGCAAAGTGGGTTTGTAAACATGGCGTTTTGCCATCAATCGATTTTTCAGTATGAAGGGCCTACAAAATATGGATTCTGGCTACATCACGTGTTAAAGGACTTTTTTTCTAAAGTTAGCATCTGGATTTATCCACTTTTTCGTTGCCAGGGCCCTGTAATAAGTTTTCTGCCAAAAATTCGTTTTTTTGTGCAGCATTACATGACTTTCTCTCTACCGCGGTTGTGGTAGCAAGAAAGTAAAAATGGTCATACGTACGTGTGCTGGCTAAAATTACCCTACTTGGAATAACCTATATTTCATTTTTAAGTCAATCCTAATGTGAGAGATCGCTCTCATTAGATACGAAATCACATGTTCGTCACAAAACAGATTTTAGAGGAATTCGAAAGGTAAAATAAAGGGAAGAGTTAAACGCCCAGACATTCAACTTAAGCGCCGAATCGTCCCCCCTGTGCAACGACAGGCTGCTCCCCTCGCAGCAAAGTTGCCTACCCCTCACTACTTGCACTTTCTCCGTCCTCGTGGGCAGACGTCCGGCTCTGGAGCGCACAATGCCCGCCGCGGAAGCACGCGTTGTGCAGGCCTGCCATACTGCGTAAGAGAAAATAAAAAACACTATCTTCAATATTGCAGTTATAGGAAGACGCCGAAAATGTTTACAGATTTTCATTTTTTTTTAAATTAGAGATTTCAACGAAAATGAGACCTGCATTTCATAAAATTGTCCTCTACACTATCCGACGACGAAGTTTAATAAAAAATGTGGGGTTATTTTTGAGTAAATTTTAAAAATGTTAAGGCTTCATACAAAGAATCCCCTAAAATCAGAATATCCATTTCAAATGCAAGAGGCAGCGACATCAGACAGGTCGATCGTGGAATATCAAGTTTGGTGCAAATTCTACTGACGGTTTAGACGCTAACGTTGTTCTCAAACGGACGGACAGACAGGCGTTTTGCCATTAACCAACTTTTTCGTGTCAAGAACACAAAACGTGAATTCTGACACAACCTATTAGAGAAAGTAATTTACTACCTACTGGAACAAGATTTATTCGCTATATTTTTATCGACAAATCATAGATTTATACTTTCTTGTCGTTACAACAGAAGAAGAGAAAGTATTGTAATCGTGCACTGGAAAACGGCGAATTGACGACAGAAAAACTGTATTGCGTGAACCTGCATCATTCTCTTAAGCGTCCTATACGCTACCCGAGATCAAAATTTAGTTAACATTTTTGGTGCCTTTTTTTTAGAAAAAATTAAAATTGTCTGTATTTCACGAAAAATTACGCGAAAAGTTCTTAAATGTTTGAAAAATTGTACATGACCTTATTTTA